GTGAAAGTGCGAGGGCAGTTTGGGCAGTGGGGGCAGTTGCGGTGGGTGTAGGTTGGTGCTACAGGCACTGGTTCGCCAGTCTCCGTGCGATGAATTCGAAAGTGACCGACCAGGCCGAGGCGAGAGGTGAATATGCGTGGACCAACACTAAACTAATTAACAAGCACTGACAGCATCCACACGAGAACTTATCTGTGACACTCTTACTAACCAAACGAAGACGGGCTGGATGTGAAAACAAACTAGTCAAGTTCAGTTTATGTCGGGAAATGAGAAACATTCCACGCCGTATTCCTTTGAGAACTATTTAGAGCAAGCATGTTCTGCGAGTTTCGACATTCCCAGAAGTCGGTTGCTGTTCATCTGGAGCGGTAGACACCTGTTAATATTCTGGCCGCAGTTTTCCACGTTCTGTGCAAATACAGTAGCAAATTTCTACTGACTTGCAAGCGCCATGAATCAGATCTGCTACTGTCTTAAATGTACAGTTCCTCTCCTGTTCTGAGATGCTAGTGGTTGCACACAACCGCGTTCTCTGTACTACCGACTCTTCCCACGAAGGCCTGCTGAATGGTCTATCAACAACGAGGCCTTCACTCATCCACACTCCCACGCAACTACGCGCTCCTGACCCCCGCCCCCGCAACAACTGCCGGTCTCTCAGCTTTTTTTCCCGCTTTTTGATTCGGGATGCGTCATCTTAATGGAAACCTATCAATCAAACCAACAGCCTTCACAGTGCTATGGCACAGTACGATCTGGTACTGGTCAAGTGGTTAGATATCCCTGTACAGACGATATGAAGGGTTTTTGTGGTCAAGGACGGCGTCACGCAGACAAGCGCGTAGACGCAGGTGTGCCATCCTGGGACAGATGAGAGAAACAACTGCAAGTCCGGCGGGTTCAGTATGAAATTAGGGTATCGTAGAGCCCTGCGTTAACATCTGCCATTAATGTCAACAGAGTGACTCTACTTGGTTCATTTAAACGCCGTCTGCATCGTTCGTTACACTCTAGCCCGAAGTGCATGGGTGCGATTTACGCTCCTTGAACGTAATTTTGTCACTTTTTACTTCATTACATTCAAATTATCACGTAAGCCGACAGTCGAACATCTTTGGATTGGATTGTTGGTGTCCAGTAATCTCGTCTATTTACGAAAAAGTGTCACCAATTCAATCTGTGTAGGGTAAGTTAATTGCATGTTAATTAGCTCAGCTGCAAATGTTCTCGTTGGTCGTCCTAGGGGCTTCAGTCACCGTCTTTTCCCATAAATCGCAAAAGTTCTACTGGAAATCACAGTTTAAATTGTCCACACAGACTAAAGAATTTTATCCACGGAAGAAATTTGCAGAACTTTACTTATACGAGTTGTCTCACAAGGGATCACTTAACCGACAAAGTCAAAAAGGCTGGAATAACAGCTTTTTGCCACAAGTCCTTTCAATACGGACGGGCTCGGCACGCCCCATGTAAACAGATTCAACTGCAGAAGTCAGTGTGTTCCCCACGCATGCTTTCCACAAAGATTGAAGTGATTCTGCACAACTCTGCGTGAACGTCTACGTAGGCAGTCTTGAAGGTGATAATCTGAATCTTTCTACTACTCTCCCCGGCTAGATCACAGTTGGTAGCCAGGCCCCGTCTTACACGTGGGGAGCAGTTAGCTTACTAAGGCTATTTTGTAGGGCTTCTTTATCACATCTGACCCATTTGGCTTCAGTTTTACGTTTGAGTTTAGGATTAGGGTTCCGGTTAATGATTTCCGATTTTCTGGTTAGGGTTATGCCTTTAGGCTTAGGTTTTCGGGTTCCGTTTAGGGTTTGAGCGTACGATTAGGTTTCTGTATTACGGCTAGGTTTTCCAGTTACGGCTATGTCTAAGGGCTACGGTTACGTTTACGATTTCGGTTAGGGTTAGGTTTGCCGTTATGGTTAACGGCTAACGTTTAAAGTTAAGTTTAGGGTTAGCGTTAGGGTTCAGATCGACGTCCGCTTCCCCATTCCGGCCTACCAAATGCGATCTGGCCCTTTCTCCTTCCAGCATGCAAAGCATGACATTGCCCACGCAATACAGCTCTGCGTGAACGTCTGCGTCGGCAGTCTTGAATGTGATAATCTCAATCCTTCTACTACTTTCTCCTTCCAGCATGTGAAGCATGACATTGCCCAAGTTCTCAAACTGTGGAATTTCTGGCTTTTCGGCCTGTCATGGCAGTCACCTTGTCAATACCAACATCAATACAGGCCTGAATCTGCAATGGGTTATCAAGCGAGAAAATCCAGGTTCTATGTCAGGAAAAGATATTTGAGCCAACTGTCGACGATATCTGCATGGTAGGAGGAAGCTAGGGACTGGTGCAATGTACGACGGCACTCCTGGGGTACATCGCCAAAGAGCACTTATCGATGGCGACGATCCTCATTCGGTATTACGGTGTCACAGTTAAGTTCTCGTGTGGATGCTGTCAGTGCCTGTTAATTAGTTTGATAGGGTGTAGGGGTGTCAGCGGGAGGTTCACGTGACGGTCGTAGTGGTCGCTCATTTGCTCGCGGATGAGACTACGCCTAGCGTCCATTTGCTGTCACCCAACTCTCACCTGCTGCTCCACGTAGCTGGGCTCTGCTCAGCGGCCACACCCCGGGCAACCGCCTCGACCGGCGAGCTAAACCAGGTGAGGGTGGTTACTCCCGGTGCGCGTTGTGCCACGTGCACAGGTATACTGCGGACTCCTCTAGACGGTTGGTCGGATGGCACACCGTGTCGGCACCGTCGTGAAGAGGCTCCGTCTGGTAAGCCGTTGGTCAGCCGGTTGGTGGAAAGTCGCATCGCCGTCGTCTAGACAAGACTCCGTCTGGTACGCCGCTGGTCAGCCTGTGGGATGGATCTTCGAATCGGCATAGCTTACACGCGTCCATCTCGTGCATCGTAGGAGACCACGGGCTTACGGCGATGTCGTAAGCCATTGGCAACTTCCAGTCGTTCTTCCACTGCTAAGAAATTCTCGTGACCCACAGTGGAGTTCGACCGCGCCTGCACATCAAGCAGCCCTATTTACGGACGGACACTGCTGCTCTTCGGAGGGGGCCTGGGAAAGCTGGCCTAAATATTTCTGGGGAATCACGTCGTCTGCAGGCTGACCGTTGTCGCAGACGTAAAACGCACGGTCGAAACAACCAAAATCGAAATAACAACAACAACATCAACACTACTCGCTCTCCTCATTCTGCCTCTTCTTCCTCTTCCACTGTCTATTCTTCTGCCTAGTCTTCTCCTTCGCCATCTTCTTCTCCACCCCCTTTTTGCCGACCCACTCGTCGCCGACAGGCAGGGTGAGTCCGCTCACTCTGGCAGCCTTGAATGTTCGTTCCCTTTAAGGCAATCCGAGGTCCAACCGACCGAAACGGAGGACGGCGCTAGTGGCCGGGGAACTGACGTGCTACAAGGTGGAGATCGCCGCACTCAGCGAGACTCGATTCTCCGAACAAGGTCAATTGAAGGAGGTGGGTGCCGGTTACACCTTCTTCTTGAACGGTCGCCCCAGGGCAGAGCGACGAGACGCGGGCGTCGCCTTCGCCATTCGGAACGACATCGTAGGACGACTGCCCTGTTTGCCGCAGGGCATCAACGGTCGCCTGATTAGCCTCCGCCTGCCTCTCTGGGGAGGCGAATTCGATACCATCATCAGCGCCTACGTTCTGACGATGACGAACCCCGACGCCGTCAGAGACAAATTCTACGAGGACCTGCACGCCCTCTTGGTGACTGTGTTGAAGGCGGGCGAGTTGATTGTCCTTGGTGACTTCAACGCCCGCGTCGACACAGACCATGCTGCCTTAAGAGGAGTGTTAGATCCCCATGGTCTCCGCGGCTCAAACGACAATGTCCTGCTGCTCCGCCGCACCTGCGCAGAACACCGCCTCATCCTGACGAGCAATTTATTCTGTCTGCCGGAGCGAGAGAAGTCCACCTGGAGGCATCCTCGGTCGCGTCAGTGGCACCTGCTGGACTATGTCCTCGTCCGGATGCGAGACCAGCGGGACGTGCTGATGACAAAGGCGATCGCGGGCGCTAACGGATGGATCGACGATCGCCTCGTCATCTCTGCTCGCTGAGAATAACCGCCTACACAAAGCCTTTCGTAAACGACCTCACTGACGACAACAAAGCTGCTTTTTACCGCAGTCGCCGCCACCTTCAGCAACGACTGCGTGAGATGCAGAACGCCTAGACTGCTGGCAAAGATGAGGAGATCCAAGGATACACGGACCGCAACGAGTGGAAGAACTTCTTCTTCTCTGCGATCAAAGCTGTCTATGGTTCGCCGACGAAGGGCACTGCTTCTCTCCTCAGCGCCGACGGCAGTACCCTCCCGACTGAAAAGACACGAATTCTACAGAGACGGGCCGAGCGTTTTTGATGCGTCCTCAACCGCCCCTCCACCATATCCGACGCCGCCATCGCTCGTTTGCCACAAGTGGAGACCTACGTGGGCCTCGACCTCCCGCTGTCTCTCCAGGAAACCATCAGGGCCCTGCAGCAGCTCTCTAGCGGGTAAGCCCCCGGATGGGACACAATCCCTGCTGAGGTCTACAAGCACGGAGGTCCCCAACTGATGGATCACCTGACTGAACTCTTCCAGGAGATGTGGCGCCAAGGTGAAGTCCCGCAAGATTTCAAAGACGCAACCATCGTGCATCTCTACAAGCGAAAAGGGAACCGCCAAGTCTGCGACAACCACCGTGGCATCTCCTTGCTGAACATCGCAGGGAAGATCTTCGCTCGCATCCTCCCCAATCGTCTGAATAATCATCTGGAACAGGGACTTCTGCCGGAAAGTCAATGCGGTTTCCGTCGTCATCGCGGAACCACGAATATGATCTTTGCCGCCCGTCAACTTCAGGAGAAGTGCCGGGAGATGCGGACCCACCTGTGCCCTACCTTCGTGGTCCTGACGAAAACCTTGGACATGGTGAATCGTGAAGGAATGTGGAAGATCATGCAGCAATTCGGCTGTCCGGAGCGATTCATTCAGATGGTGCGTCAGCTGAACGACGGTATGATGGCGCGAGTCACCGACCACGGAGCTGTCACAGATGTAACGGCGCATGGACCGCTTCTCCTCCGCCTGCGAGAACTGCGGTCTGGTCATCAACACGCAGAAGACGGTGGTCATGCATCAACCGCCACCCAACACAGCCACTTCTCCCTACGCGCCGAAAATCAGTGTGAAAGGAGCTTAACTGCAAGTGGTGGAGAACTTCCCGTACCTGGGCAGTACCCTCTCCCTTAACACCAAAATCGATGACGAAGTCGCCAACAAGATCTCGAAAGCCAATCACACGTTCGGCCGCCTCCAAAGCACAGTCTGGAATCATCACGGTCTCCAAGTGAGCACGAAGCTGAAGATGTAAAAGGCCGTCATCCTGCCGACGCTGCTTTACGGAGCGGAGACTTTGACAGTATACACAAAGCAGGCACGTCGACTGAACCACTTTCACCTCAGTTGTCTCCGTCGCATCCTGAGGCTGAACTGGCAGGATCGAATCCCCGACACTGATGTGCTGGAACGGACGGGAATCCTTAGCATCTACACCATACTGAGACAAATACAGCTGCGCTGGAGCGGCCACCTGGTGCGCATAGACGACGAGCGACTACCCAAACGACTCTTATACGGAGACGTCGCGACGGGCTCTCGCCGCCAAGGAGGCCAAATTCGTCGATACAAGGATACTCTGAAGTCCTGCCTGAAGCATCTGCAAATTAACTCGATCAACTGGGAAGAGCTCGTGCTCGACCGATCGACCTGGAGGAGGAAAGTGAAGACAGGCGCTGCGATCTATGAGGCCAACCGAATCGCCGCTGCCAAAGTGGAACGCAAAGCAGGCAAATTACAACTACGCCCCGTCAGCAACGCAGACGCATCACCGCTTCCAAAGTGTCCTCAGTGTCAACGGACATTTCAGCACGAACTGGACTCATTGAACATCTTCGGACCATCTGCACCTCACATACCGCACCAACCGCCGCCCCTCCACCCGCCTCTGCCTCGTCCTCTCCGCAATCAACTAAATCTGAAAGTTTTTCTGAACCAGCACTTCCGTCCTCCTCCGCCCCTTCCTCCTCCCCCCATTCTTCCTCCTGTTACTCCTCCTCTTCCTCCTCCATCCCTCCTCCTCCTCCTCCGCCTCCTCATCCTCCTCCTCGGCCTCCTCCTCCTTCTCCTCCCCTTCCACCACCACCACCAC